ATGAATAAATTGAAATAAAAAAAAATTCATCAACATATTTGAAGTATGGAAACCAAACAATTGTTAAATTATATTCATAATTTTTGTCTCATATACGGTGTGCTATGTAATTTTAATTAAACATTTCTCCAACCATGTAATTGAGGAATTGCTTAAAATATAATTCATGACATACATGAGATCAATGTTAGAATATGCTGCAGTTGTTAGGTGTCCAGACCTTCAAAAATATTTCATATTGACAAAGTAAAATATTATCAAAAGAAGGCACCAAGCCGGGGAGACTATGTAGCACGATCAAAGGTGCCGCACATTCAAAAATTGCTCAGTATTGACAAGCAAGATTTTGAAAGAACAAAGTCTAATTTTGTTGATACCTGTAAATCCCGGGATGCGAGAGTAATCTCACCTGAATGCCTGTGCTAAACTCAATAACATGGAGAGTTGTAAGATTCCCCTTCACCCTTGGGGTATATGACAAACCGAGATGCACATTACTTGCCCAAGGTCTCACCTCTGTGTGGCCAACCTACATAAGTAGGCCTCCTAAGATTTGGAGACCATTAAGGTATTTGTGTATTTATGAATGCAACACAATTGTGACATGTTCATAAATTTTATATACGGTGTGTATGTAATTACCTAATGTAATTACCTAAGTGTAGTTACAGGATGAGAGCTACGCTCATAGAATCCTGTCTTTCCAATCTGTCAAATAATGCTTTGAAACTCCTGACAGTTTTGGCCTCCACCACCTTCTCGTTTTACTTGTTCCAATTGTCTACCACTCTGTTTGCAAAAGAAAACTTTCTAATCTTTCTTTGACACCTTTGTTTTCTTAGCTTGAATCTATGTCCTCTTGTTTGTGATGTTGCTGGTTTCAGGAATTCCTCTTTTTTTTAAATTTGGTCAGTTCTTGTTAGTATTTTGTAAGTGGTGATCATATCACCTCTTTTTCTTCTATCTTCTAGTTTTGGCATGTTTAACGCCTCTAGTCTTTCTTCATAACTTTTATTTTTCAGTTCCGCAAGCCATTTTGTTGCATGCCGCTGCACCTTTTCCAGTTTCTTTATGTGCTTCTTGAAATTCCAGCACCATACAACTGTTGCATATTCTAATTTTGGTTTCACAAATGTCATGAACAGTTTCTTTAGTATTTCACCATCCATAAACTTAAAAGCAAGTCTGAAGTTGGAAAGTGACGCTACGCTCCTCTCACAATGTTCACGTGTTCCTCTGGCGACAGCTTACTATCCCAAACCACCCATAAGTCTCATTCTTTATTAGAGTTATGCAATTCCTTTCCACATAATTTGTAAATTGTGTGTGGTCTATTTTCTCTGATTCTACATTCCATAATATGGCATTTGTTCATATTGAATTCTATTTGTCACTTGACGCTCCAAGCACTTATTTTATCTAGATTGATATGACGGGCATTACAATCGTCTGTGTCTCCTGTCTTCCCCAGTATCTTAGCATCATCCGCAAACATGTTCATATAATTCTGTATTCTTTCTAGTAGATCATTTATGTAGACGATGAACATTACTGGTGCAAGAACTGAACCCTGCGGTACTCCGCTAGTAACAAGCCTCCAGTCAGATACATTGTCTCTGATTAGCGCCCTCATGTCTGTCAGAACATTTTTCATCCATGTCAGAAGTCTCCCTGTCACCCCTCCAGCATGTTCTAGTTTCCAGAACATCCTCTTGTGCAGGACTCTGTCAAAGGCCCTTTTTAGGTCCAGATAGACACAGCCAACCCAACCCCCTCTTTCCTGTAGTATCTCTGTAGCTCTATCATAAACACTAAGTAGATTTGTTACACAGGATCTTCCTGCTCCAACACCATACTCTCTGCCCATTATTATGTCATTATTCTTTGGGCGTACTCTCGAGTTCATTTGGCTTGAACTAATTGTTCTAGTGTTTTGACTACCATGCTTGTTAATGATATGGATCTATAATTTAGAGGTTCCTCTCGACTACTAATATTATAGTTTGGTACTATGTTTGTCTTTGTCCCTATACCTGCCAAGATTCCTGCGCTTAAGGATGTCTGGAATATTATTTGGAGTAGAATGCTCAACTCAGTTGCACATTTTTACCCAAGGTAAAACTCCATCATGTCCAACTGCTTTATTTCTTCCTAGCCCCTCGATTAATTTTTCAACTTCATCTTGGGAAACCTCTTTGTATTCTATGGTGTGCTCAGGAATTGCCATTGGGTCCGGCTCTCTCAAATCCTCATTTTGTACAAATACACTTTGGAACTGTGTATACATACATGCATACATATATACATGCATACATAACATACATACACACATACATACATACATTCAAGGTGAGTACAACTAAATGAATACTTATATACATACATATACATACATACATATATAAAATACACATACACACAAGATTGTGTGAAAAAGGAGAAGATAATGTGGAAAAGGCTCATTAGAACATCTAGAGGGAAAGATCTTTGTATCACCCCCAGCATGGGTTCAGGGATGGTAAATCATGCATCACAGACTTAATAGAGTTCTATGACCAGGAGACAAAAATTAGCCAAGAAAGAGAAGGGTGGACAGATTGCATTTTCTTAGACTGTCAGAAAGCCTTTGACACAGTACCTCATAAAAGGCTGTTACAGAAGTTGGAGAAACAGGCAAGAGTAAAAAGTAAGGTGCTCCAGTGGATAACAAGAAACAGCGAGTAACGGTGAAGGGGAGAGACATCAGAGTGGCGAAATGTCACCAGCGGAGTCCCACAGGGCTCTGTACTTGGACCCATCCTGTTTCTAATATATGTAAACGATCTTCTAGAGGGTATAGATTTATTCCTCTCAATGTTTGCTGATGATGCAAAAATTACGAGAAGAATCAAGACAGATGAAGATAGACAGAGACTACAGGATGACCTGGACAAACTGAAAAATCTATTTATCCATATATCTGTTCATCTATCTATCTACCCTTCCATCTATCTATCCATCCATCTACACATCTATTTATCTATCTATCCATCTACCTACCCATCAATCTGTCCATCTATCCATCCATCGACTCATCTATCCATCCATCTACCCATCCATCTACCCATCTATCTACCCATCTATCTATCCATCCAACCATCTAATTGTCTTTCTATCCATCCATCTACTCATATATCTATCCATCCATCTACCCATCTATCCATCCATCTACTCATATATCTATCCATCCATCTACCCATCTATATATATATCCATCCATCCATCTAATTGTCTTTCTATCCATCCATCTACTCATCTATTTATCCATCCATCTACCCATCTATGTATCCATCCATCTACCCATCTATGTATCCATCCATCTACCCATCTATGTATCCATCCATCTACCCATCTATTTATCCATCCATCTACCCATCTATGTATCCATCCATCTACCCATCTATGTATCCATCCATCTACTCATCTATCCACATATTCACCCATCTATCTACGTCCTCCCCACTCCCCTTCCCCGACCCCTCACCCTTTCACACTTTCTCCTGATAGTTCCATTCCGTTCCCTCCTATCCCTGGCCCCTCTCCTCTTCCATCATGTTGCCTCCATCCTCCATCCCCCCCCTCCCCTCCACCAGCTTAACTCCTCTCCCTTTCATCATATATAATATCACAGATCAATGAAGCTACTTTGTGTGTTCAAGGAAATATGTTTTCTGATGACCAAAAGTATTCGGTCATCTCCTCCAATATTTCACACTTGACCAGAATTGAATCCATGAGAATCTCCGTGGACAGTCTCCGTGGTGTAGTGGTAAGACACTCGCCTGGCGTTCCGCGAGCGCTATGTCATGGGTTCGTATCCTGGCCGGGGAGGATTTACTGGGCGCAATTCCTTAACTGTAGCCTCTGTTTAACGCAACAGTAAAATGTGTACTTGGATGAAAAAACGATTCTTCGCGGCGGGGATCGTATTCCTGGGACCTGCCCGAAACGCTACGCGTACTAGTGGCTGTACAAGAATGTAACAACTCTTGTATATATCTCAAAAAAAAAAAAAAAAAAAAAAATCAGATGCAGGTGTGAATAGTTAACACTAATTCTTAAATCGTTAAACTTTGGCCTACCCAGACAGCCTATATCCATCCCATACCCAAGACCATCTCCCCCACAAATTTGGGAGACAGACACATTTTCTCCTATAGTATAGAAATATATATATACAGGTACAGAATATATAAAATTTGTGAACATGTTAGAATTTTGTTATATATGCATCAATATACAAATACCTTAATGGTTCTCTTAAACTGTTAGGAGGTCTTCTTAATTGATAAGTACATTCTGTGTGTGTGTGTTTACTATTTGTATTTACTATCTGTGCCTGCAGAATCGAGCTGTTAGTTCTTGGATCCAGGCTTTCTAGCCATTGGTTGTCTAATGTATCAACTCCTGACCTGTTTTTCTTCTATCATATCTACTACATATTCACCGCTCATGCACACACACACACACACATCCCCAGGAAGGTTACCTTGCGTTGATATCGGGAATCAACGTTTCCGCAGCCCGGTCTCTGATCAGGCATCCTGGTTAACGATCTGGTCAACCAGGCTGGTGGATGCGGCTACTCGCAGCCTGACGTATGAATCACAGCCTGGTTGATCAGCTGCAACCCATAGCAGCTGTCTAATGCCCAGGCACCTATTTACTGCTAGGTGAACAGATGCATCAAGTGAAAGAAATTGCCCATTTGTTTGTGCCTCGACTGGGAATCGAACCTGGGGGCCCTTAGGATTACAACCCCAGAGCTTTGTCCAATTGTTTGTGAGGACCTCTCTCTATGTGTGTGTGTGTGTGTGTGTGTGTGTGTGTGTGTGTGTGTGTGTGTGTGTGTGTGTGTGTGTGTGTGTGTGTGTGGGTGGGGTGTGTGTGTGGGTGGGGTGTGTGTGTGGGTGGGGTGTGTGTGTGGGTGGGGGTGTGTGTGTGTGTGTGTGTGTGTGGGTGGGTGGGGTGTGTGTAATTACCTAAGTGTAGTTACAGGATGAGAACTACGTTCGTGGTGTCCCGCCTTCCTAGAACCCCTTGTCAGTGTGTGTGTGTGTGTGTACCTCTTCGGTATATTTATGTATCTTTGGCCTTTGCACTGATAAACATGAAATATTTCTTAAAATAACAATGGCATATGTGTATACCACAAAAAGAACCATACTGGCCTTATGCACGTACAGTACTGCATTTGATCAAATTAAACGTAATGTAGGGATGCTTGCATTAATCTTAAATGACACAGCCACGTAATTATGATTGGTTAATCTCATTAAACCCAATAAGACTACTTTATGATAGGACCCAGCAGAGGCCCATCATCAGTTCTATGACATTGATGTGGTTATTGAACAAATAATAAACGATACCTTCATTACATGAGTAATAGATGAGAGGCATGCCAAACCAAACTATTGCCTAGGTGAAGTATGTCCTCTCTAAAACACACTACACAATAATGCAAGCACGGGATTTCACTCCTCCATATGTTGTATTAATCGCATGTCCATTCTTCGGCAGCCGGGGCAACCGTCTCCTAGGTGATGCATTTTTGCTGGGAGTAGAGGGTGAGGAGGTGGGTGCCGAACAGGTTAGGGTATCAGTGGAGTTGTTGTTGGACGTCCTGCTGGGGCTGCTGGGTCGGTTCATCAGGCGGTGAAGGAGGATGCGGTAGGTAGCCAGGGCTGGCGAGCGGGCACCCAGGATTGCCCCATCCTCTAGGGCATCTCGTGATATTCCCCACTTTTCAAGTGTTGAAACAGCCTCTGCCTGCAACCATTATTAGAATATTAAATGAAAACTAATTAAGGCTTTATTGCTGAAGCATCATTTAGCTTACTACTGCCCTGCCATACAAATATGAATTCGCTATACCTTTTTCCAGAATTTTACCTGAGGGTCACCATCTCCAGTGGCCTCTTAATTAAATATTTGAAGAAAAATGCATAAAAAACCAGCGTTGAATGTAATGAAACGCCATTTTCTGGGTGAGTCCCCGGAGGCTCCCCGGAGCTATCCAGCCTGAATGGATATGTATAATTTTCTGGCATCAGTCAAGGTGCTTGGAGTTCTTACCTACCAGGGACCACGAGCTAGAACCTGGCCCCCTCAGAGAGGCACGAGGAGCAATGGCCTATAGAAACCCCCTTGTAATTGGGAGCATTCTATGTCTGCCATCGACCAGGACAGGCACCCAGAAAGGTAGGCGCCCCAAAACAAACCCCTATTCTGGTGAAAATATTGCTACCGAAAGCTGAACGAGTGGACAGAACTCCCCAAACAAAAGTAGCAAACTAGCATGACGTCACCGCGCCGCCGTCTGCGCAACCTCCCCCCCCCAGGTGGGGGATGGGGGAGCCCTAGACTCTCCACGCCGGCGATCCAACCGGCAGTTTTTAGGCTGGATGTGAAAATACGCGAAAAACACCGCCGACCGGAGGGAGTCTCCGGGACTCCGGAGACATCGGAGCTTCCCGCGGGGCTTTCCAGGGCCCTTAGCTTGGTGTACACGCCAAGGGAAGAACAGGCAGGGTACTGCGAACCGGCGCCCAAATCTACCGAACAAACTGCTAAAAGCTGAACCCTCGGGACGTGTACACTCACGGGGGCCAAGCCGGAGACTCCACCAAAACAGGAGAAAAAACACAAACCCTGCTCAAGCGAAGTAAAGAACAGGGAGACCCTCCCACCAGGCAGAAAACAAAAACAAAAGATAAACCCCGCAAGAGGACAGTGTACCCAGGCGGAACACAGCCGGCCACTATGAATGTAGAAGACTTGCAGTACCCCGTGCCCCTACCAGTGACTAAAACTCCCTCCTACCTCGAGACAAACCAGGGCAACAACCCCAGTTGACCCCAAGGGCGGCCCAGTACCAAGCAGTAAAAGACACAGCGGAGGAAGATCCCAAGGTCACTTGTGGAAGATGGCCCCCAGCCCCCAAGGGTAGTACTCACAGGGTATCTAGGGAAGGAAACCCTAGGCGCATGCAGCCCGAGTGTGGGGGAAGATGACTCCTGGCTCACACACTACCTGTAGAGACAGCCCACACCACAAGACAGACTGAAACAAAAGTGGAGCCTGAGGCACGCGACTGGCCAGTAAACCCATCAGCCAAGAACTGCCGGTTGGATCGCCGGCGTGGAGGGTCTGGGGCTCCCCTTTCCCCCTGCCAGGGAGGGGGGGGGGGGGAGTTGCGCAGACGGCGGCGCGGTGACGTGATGACGTCATGCTAGTTTCCTACTTTTGTTTGGGGAGTTGTGTCCACTCGTTGAGCCTACCTTTCTGGGTGCCTGTCCAGGTAGATCGCAGACACAGTTTCCTACACTGAGCTTTAAATTTGCTCTGTACCTAGTGTAACCCAATCTCCTAATTTTTATGTAATATCAAACAACCTTATCATTGTGTTCATTGCTGTCTTCTTTTATGTGCTAGCCATATGCTGTATTGTGACTACCAATTTGTTGTCAACTACCATTTTAAGCTGTCATTGCAATCAATCATAGCTACCTATGTGCTTTAATATACTGTACCTATAATTTTCTCTCATCTTCCTTTTTTTCATTCCATGTAATCTGTTATCATTTTTTTGTCTATAAATTTTGCAAGTATTTACCTCCTTAAAATTTTCTTAGATTAAGGACCTGCCCGAAACGCTGCGCGTGCTAGTGGCTTTACAAGACTGTAATTACCATAATTGTATCCTCACATTCCTTATGTACATTCTTGTATATGCATAAATAAAATAAAATAAAATAAAATAAGAATGCTTCCAACCACAGGGGGGTTTCTATAGTATTAAGTATTAAGTTTTAGTCTTAGTGTTTTTCCTGCCCGAAACGCTATGCGTAATAGTGGCTTTAGGCATTGTATGTACTAGCTCTAGCTATTAATCCATCAACTTTTGTATTTCACCTTGTATGTATGTACTTTACCTGAATAAATATTTGTATTTTTTGTATTTTGTATTTATAGGCCATTGCTCCTCGTGCCTCTCTGAGGGGGCCAGGTTCTGGCTCGTGGTCCCTGGTAGGCAAGTACTCCATGCACCTTGACCGATACCAGAAAGTTATTCAGCCTGGATAGCTCCTGGGAGCTGACGGGGCTCTCCCCAGAAATCCTTGAGTAAATACTGCCAGGAGAGACAAACCCAGCACTGAATGTAATGATACACCACGTATGGGATGAGCCATGGTGGCTCCTGGAAGCTATCCTCCTGAGATTGCTTCATGCTAAAAGGTCACATCAGTTGGGGATAGTTCTGTTTAGCCTACCAGAGACAAGAGCTAGAACCTGACCCCATCACAGAGGTGCAGAGAGCAGGTTATACTCCACCACCTCACCTGAAGAAGCCTCCTGGAAGTCAACACAGCTTTATAAGCAACTGGAAGGTTCACAGAAAACAAACCCCTGAAAACCGCCAAAACAATTACCGCAACAATGAGTCACATGGTACAACTGAGTCACTCAAACAAGCTAAAAACTCATTAATACTGATTACCACCACTAGGTGGCCCAGCCCCGGTTCCCAGCCAGCTCCCCAAATCAGTTATGTTCCTGATGTTGGTGTCATCACACCAGCTTGAAGTGCTTATGGTCATGTTAACTTGTGGGTGAGCCCAAAAGCTTCAGGCTCAGTACTGGGCATCCTTGGACTTGCATGTCCTGTGGGGGGGGGGGGACCATTTGCTTATTATATTGTTTCCCATTTTAGTGTAGCATCATGTTACAGGTCCCGGTAGTACAGTCTATCTATCTTTCTCGACGCACAATTGAGAATTCCGGGTTCAAATCCCGGGCGGGACAGAAATGGTTGGGCACATTTCCTCTCACCTAGCAGTGAGTAAGTACTCAGGAGTTAGTCAGCGTGTTGTAGGGTTGCATCCTGGGTGGGGTCAGTAATTCGGCCTTGGGGGGGGGGGACCTTGATAAAAGCCAAAACGTGTATGAATACACTCTGGCTTCCTGTCCCCAAACACAATGAACTATGAATTATGTGTGTGTGTGATTCCAGTTTGTTGTGTAGGCTTGATGCCTAAACATCTCTCAAAGCCACTGGAAGGAGGCGGTATTGACAATCCACTCCGTGGAAATGGGAGATGGAACAGACCATTCGCAAGAGCATTGGACCATGGTCAAAAGTGAACTGCATGGAGAACAAAAAGATAGCAAAAGTGCTACACACAATGTACAGTTCCACAGGGTAATGGACCGAAGTGTGTCCTCCCAGTTCAGACAATGAACCATTGGGCACAGTCCAAATGGAGCCGGAGCACAGAGCCTAGTGGAATCCAAATCTTCCTCTGGGCATGCCACACAGCTGCACACTCCCACTCTGTACTGTGCAACTAACGACCCTGAGCGACTTCCCAAGTGCTGGTCACAAAGACCCAACACAAAACTGAAGCTTCCATAACGCTGTTATTTTTATTTGTTATTTATTTTTATTTATTTATATATACAAGAGTTCTTACATTCTTGTACAGCCACTAGTACGCATAGTTTTTCGGGCAAAGTTGACTGAGGGAGGAGGAAGGCACCAAGGAAAAAGAATGCTGAAAATCCCGAGGAGGAAGCCAGGCGATGCAGCAGCCGACAAAGGGTAATTAAGGTTTGAACCCAACAGCCGCGGCAGTGGCAAAAAGGGCAAACCCAGATAAACCAGAAGATCCACGAAAGCCACACCCTGCTCAGTGGAACACCCATGCAGGCAAAGTTCAGGCTCCCGCACAACAGCTCCAGCAACCGATACTCGAGTAGTTGTGAGGGAGATGAACCGGAGAAAAAGCCTCAAAAGGGCTGTACCGGCACCATGGAAACCAGTAGAATAACGTAGCTTACAAACCTCTCAACTTCAATAGCAGAGGCTGCAGTATCTGGACTGTAGAAATAAGTCCATCATTTCGACTGATTTCATCGATTTGCATGTAGCACAAATGCTTCTTGGTCAGGAAATGGAATGACAGACAGGAAGCTTGTAGGTCCAAATGGAGGCAAGAAAGTCTACATGGGATATAGAACTTGGCACATATCCAAAGAAAGGATGCCTTATCCACCTCCCATTCCATCCCTGTTGAGATGAAAACAGGAGATGCCATCTGCAAGTAAGTCTGAGAGAGTGGACGACACTCCCATGTTATGATGGGAGACAACAAAGTGGAATCCTTTCAACTTAGACTGTACACTGCTGAAGAACTGCCCAGGTGCAATTGGCTCTCCAATTGCACCTGGGGCCTCAAGGGGGATGAGGTGTGCTAGAGAACCATTCAAAACACCACCAACTCTTGTACATTGAATTACATAGTGACCTAAGGGTCACTATCACTCTATTGGCCTCGACAACGACAGGAAGCCAGTGGTTTCTCTAACGTCCCCCATTTTTCCTGATGACTTTATCCAGCTGGATTTTGAACAGCAACAATGTTTTGACAGTTATAGCACACCCCAGTTATAGGAGGCCTGGTCGACGACCGGGCCGTGGGGACGCTAAGCCCCCGGAAGCACCTCAAGGTAACCACCCCACTGCCAGACATCAGTGACTTTAACTAGCATTATGAAGGTTGGTAACAAAGCTTTACTGTAAGCCCAAAGTGTCTGTAACCAAAAATTAGAAAGCAAAATCAGAAAGTACAAACAATTAACCGGTTAATTGGGTTACCTAAATGACTCCTAGATTACCTCTACATCAGCTGAATCCTGAGCAGATAGGGTAGGTGCCAAGACATATAGCGGCAGTGGCGTGGGTTGGGAGGGGGCTGTTGCTAGCCAGGTGTGAGCGGCAATAGTGTCAGTACCAGGCCTCTCACTTGGCTCTTGCACCAGGAGGCGAGCAATGAGGTCTGTAGCTGCAGGGGAGACATGATCCGGCGTGATAAACGCTCCGGCCAAAATGTGCCGCTTCAACCCAGCTACCGTGTTTGCCTGAAGATAAAGATCTATATTAACATATATGAATAGCAATGAACAGGCTCCTGTGCTGATGTAAACACATCTAATGCACTGGGAATATTTTACCAAATAACAATGCAGGAAGGAAATTCATTGACATCTGCTTCAACAGTCTGATGCTAAATGTAATAATAATGTTATCACGTCAAATATAAACTTGAAAATGTAAAATGATTGATATTCCCAAGACATTTTTTGTGTCTACGAGGCTGTGGTTAGATAAACAAGGGTCATATAGTGGAAGGTATATTGAATATTTACCTGAGTTTACCTGAATTTTACCTGAGGGCCAAAAATACTAGTGGCCTCGATGAGGACAGGAAGCCGGCAGTTTGTCAACAGTCCCCCCCATTTGCCCTGATGAACTTTTCCAATTGAATTTTAAAACCCAGCAGAGTTTTGGCCGTTACGGCTTCAGCGGGTAGGCGGTTCCACGGGTTTACAACCCTATGGGGTGAAAAAGCCTCTCCTGTTTTCTGTCCTACATAGTGGCTTGTTGAGCTTGAACCCGTTGCTCCTCGTTCGTGTTACATCTGACCTTCTGAAGAAATTGACCAGATCGACATCCTCCAAATTGTTCAGTGGTGAACAATCTGGCGTTACATCAAAGGTTTCGATGAGGTCCGCCCTGTCATGCCTGGTTTGCATGGCATGACAATAATGTCTATACTCATCACGTCATGCTAATATGGCGTGATATATAGACCTTTATACAGTAAATGCCTTATACAATATTTACATTTGTTAATTACCCAATCATTATTTTAGTATACTGTACAGTGTATTATCTTCAAAAATTCATTAAGAAGCTGTATCGATACAGTTCTTAAATTCATTAGCTTAAGTTATGCCAGAAATGTTGTGCATATTTAGAGGCTTTATAAAATAATAATAATAATGAACAAATCCACGAGGGCCTTGATGAGGGTTCAAACCTATGTGCTGAGTGTTCCCAGATGTGCCTTAGTCAACTGTACCACGACATGACCAAAAGAATAGCAAACTGGAGTGGTCCTGCCCTCACGAGGATCCTGAGGCTTCTACTAAAGCCTAACCGGGAGTTTCTCACATTTCCCCTCATGCACTCGGTCTCTGTCAACCAAATAGTTCTATCTCTGCCTCTATTTCAATACATACAGATATCACACTAACGTGATATATCAAATGAACAAATAAATTAATTTGTTCATTTGATATATCATATTATTGTGATTTTTGCGTGCATTGAAATAATAATAATAATAATGTGTTCTCGCAGACATAATAACAGAGGATAAAAACCAACACTTATGTAATCTGTGAAATTTATGTAAAGATTTACACCAAGTCTTTCGTACTCTTCTGAGTTCTTTGTCAAAGTCTGATTATGTGGTTAGGATGAGACTTACATCTCAACGACTTTACACCTCAACTGATTAGTCGTTGAGATGTAAGTCTTATCCTAGCCACATCCTGCACTCAGACCTTGACAAAGCACTCAGAAGAGTGCGAAAGACTGGGTGTAAATCTTGACATAAGTGTGGGTTTTTATTAAATAATAGCAATAATAATAATACATAATACAGTACATAATATTCTATTTATACAAGTGTACATACATATGATACATGAACAAAGAAAGATACATAGGTAAGATAAGTACAATGCATAAAGCCGCTAGTACGCAGTGTTTCAGACAGAACTCAAGACAAAACAGTTAGGTTGTTTACAGAGGTTTAAGTGTCAGATGAGGTAGACACAATTCTAAACATGAAGTAAGCAACATATAAATTGTTCAGAAATGTACCAAATGATACAGAGCTTTAAGGGACTTAAGCAGAGGGGCTGTGTGTTGTCTGAAGACAGAGTTTGTTATAGTTCTGATAGCAGATTTTTGCTGAGTGATGATAGGCTTGAGGTAATTTGCAATGGTTGAACCCCATGCATTATAATTTTCCTTGATAGATGTAATAAAACCCATGAGCACCACACCAGAATAAATATCTCTTTGATATCCCCAGAGTCGGACTAAATCTGTGCAAACACTCCATGCAAATAAAAGGACCCAGTCTATGGAACTCACTCCCTGATGAATTAAAAAATTGTCCAACCCATGCCCTGTTCAAAAGTAAAACCAAAAAGTACCTAATTTCATCCTCATAGTTTCCTACCTTGTGCTACAAACTCACACTGTATCTTGTACTACCCTCTTCCCCAATATTAGTACTTAGGACATATATCTTCGCCAGTGTAATCACCTCAGTCAACTTACATTGTAGTTATTTGTCGATATAAAAACCTTGCTACAATGTACCTTTTCATCTAACCTGATATGTTAGATTAAGGACCTGCCCGAAATGATATGCGTGTTAGTGGCTTTGCAAGAATATCCAGGGACGCTTTTAACGATAACCAGGGATTAACGATTCTTCGCGGCGGGGATCGTATTCCAGGGACCTGCCCGAAACGCTACGCGTACTAGTGGCTGTACAAGAATGTAACAACTCTTGTATATATCTCAAAAAAAAAAAAAAATATATATATAAAAATGCCAATCTTATGTAATCTCACAACCCATTGTATCTTTTTATAAATTTATTATTATTATTATTGTGTGGAGAGGTAATGTCATAGTGTCCCAATTGATATGTTTGTCCTGCACACCGCCCCCCATCCAGCGGACAGCGGTGGATAGGTTACAATCACTTAGTTACTACCTACAGTTAGCAAACTGGGGATATTTGACAAACATTTTTGGTAGCAGATCACTTTGAATGAAACATTTACACATCTATTTACTTATTTATTTATTTATTTATGTACAAGAAGGAACATTGTGTTGTGAGAGGACATCACATTGGTGTTCTTACATTCATTCTAATCCACTAACATGCGTAGCGTTTCGGGCAGGTCCTTAACCTGATACATTAAGGAACTGCCTAACCCATCTTCGAACACATGTAACCCATCTTAGGTGACACATAACCCATCTTGGGTGACACATAACCCACCTTGGGTGACACATAACCCACCTTGGGTGACACATAACCCACCTTGGGTGACACATAACCCACCTTGGGTGACACATAACCCACCTTGGGTGACACATAACCCACCTTGGGTGACACATAACCCACCTTGGGTGACACATAACCCACCTTGGGTGACACATAACCCACCTTGGGTGACACATAACCCACCTTGGGTGACACATTACCCACCTTGGGTGACACATAACCCACCTTGGGTGACACATAACCCACCTTGGGTGACACATTACCCATCTTGGGTGACACATAACCCACCTTGGGTGACACATAACCCACCTTGGGTGACACATAACCCACCTTGGGTGACACATAACCTACCTTGAGTGACACATAACCCACCTTGGGTGACACATAACCCACCTTGGGTGACACATAACCCATCTTGGGTGACACATAACCCACCTTGGGTGACACATAACCCACCTTGGGTGACACATAACCCACCTTGGGTGACACATAACCCACCTTGGGTGACACATAACCCACCTTGAGTGACACATAACCCACCTTGGGTGACACATAACCCACCTTGGGTGACATAACCCACCTTGGGTGACACATAACCCACCTTGGGTGACACATAACCCACCTTGGGTGACACATAACCCACCTTGAAAGGCATGTCAGCAGTTAAGATGAAGTAGAGCAGGACTCCCAAGGCCCAAATATCGACCGCTGGCCCCACATACGACTCGTCCTGAGGAATTGAACATTATGTCACTAGGAGATCATTCAAAGCGGGCAAAGCGTGCTTCATTAACAGTATCAACGTCGAACCAACGTCGAACCAACGTCGAACCAACGTCGAATCAACGTCGAACCAACGTCGAACCAACGTCGAATTAACGTCGAACCAACGTCGAACCAACGTCGAACCAACGTCGAATCAACGTCGAATCAACGTCGAACCAACGTCGAACCAACGTCGAATCAACGTCGAACCAACGTCGAACCAACGTCGAACCAACGTTGAATCAACGTCGAACCAATATTACTCATAGATGTTGTGCCTATTGGGTTCATTACAGATATAAAATGGTGCCTAAAGTTTGAACAAAATGCTTCATATCAACCGGTAAAAGCCTGTGCCATTGTTCATTGAGAAATTAATGTTGAAAGACGGTTATAGAATAATGAATGATGCTTAAAGAGCACGCGTTAACGTGATGTATTAATGAGAATATTATTGACACATTTACGGGCTATTCATGCCCGTGCCACCTCTCGGGTGGCTTAATCTTCATCAATCACTAGTACAGGTACAAACCAACTCGGCCACCGTTGAGCATAATGAACATGAACATTGTATAATAATGAGTAGTACAATTATACTGTAATATATGTAACATCTTTATTAAAATACTTATTATAATGGGGAGAAAATTGTATACTGTAAATTGGGTTAATTAAACAACAATATGTTGAGTGGAGATAAGCCCATGTTTCTGGTATGTGACGGGGGGGGGGGGGGGGGTGTCTGGTGCTTGTGTGACTACTGTGGGGGCTGTCTGTTGCTTGTGTGACAGTACTGTGGGACTGTCTGTTGCTTGTGTGACAGTACTGTGGGGCTGTCTGTTGCTTGTGTGACTACTGTGGGGGCTGTCTGCTGCTTGTGTGACTATTGTGGGGCTGTCTGAAGCTTGTGTGACTACTGTGGGGGCTGTCTGTTGCTTGTGTGACAGTACTGTGGGGGGCTGTCTGTTGCTTGTGTGACAGTACTGTGGGGGGCTGTCTGTTGCTTGTGTGACTATTGTGGGGGCTGTCTGTAGCGTGTGTGACTACTGTGGAGGCTGTCTGTTGCTTGTGTGACAGTACTGTGGGGGGCTGTCTGTTGCTTGTGTGACAGTACTGTGGGGGGCTGTCTGTTGCTTGTGTGACTACTGTGGGGGCTGTCTGTTGCTTGTGTGACAGTACTGTGGGGGCTGTCTGTTGCTTGTGTGACAGTACTGTGGGGGGCTGTCTGTTGCTTGTGTGACTATTGTGGGGCTGTCTATAGCTTGTGTGAGAGTACTGTGGGGGCTGTCTGTAGCTTGTGTGACTACTGTGAGGGCTGTCTGTAGCTTGTGTGACTACTGTGAGGGCTGCCTGTTGCTTGTGTGACAGTACTGTGGGGGGCTGTCTGTTGCTTGTGTGACAGTACTGTGGGGGGCTGTCTGTTGCTTGTGTGACTATTGTGGGGCTGTCTATAGCTTGTGTGACAGTACTGTGGGGGCTGTCTGTTGCTTGTGTGACAGTACTGTGGGGGCTGTCTGTTGCTTGTGTGACAGTACTGTGGGGGGCTGTCTGTTGCTTGTGTGACAGTACTGTGGGGGGCTGTCTGTTGCTTGTGTGACTATTGTGGGGCTGTCTATAGCTTGTGTGACAGTACTGTGGGGGCTGTCTGTTCCTTGTGTGACAGTACTGTGGGGGCTGTCTGTTGCTTGTGTGACAGTACTGTGGGGGGCTGTCTGTTGCTTGTGTGACTATTGTGGGGCTGTCTATAGCTTGAGTGACAGTACTGTGGGGGCTGTCTGTAGCTTGTGTGACTACGGTGGGGGCTGTCTGTTGCTTGTGTGACTACTGTGGGGGCTGTCTGTAGCTTGTGTGACAGTACTGTGGGGGCTGTCTGTTGCTTGTGTGACAGTACTGTGGGGGCTGTCTGTTGCTTGTGTGACTACAGTGGGGCCTGTCTGTAGCTTGTGTGACAGTACTGTGGGGGCTGTCTGTTGCTTGAGTGACAGTACTGTGGGGGCTGTCTGTAGCTTGTGTGACAGTACTGTGGGGGCTGTCTGTTGCTTGAGTGACAGTACTGTGGGGGCTGTCTGTTGCTTGTGTGACTACTGTGGGGGCTGTCTGTTGCTTGAGTGACAGTACTGTGGGGGCTGTCTGTAGCTTGTGTGACAGTACTGTGGGGGCTGTCTGGTGCTTGAGTGACAGTACTGTGGGGGCTGTCTGTTGCTTGTGTGACTACTGTGGGGGCTGTCTGTTGCTTGTGTGACTACTGTGGGGGGCTGTCTGTTGCTTGTGTGACTACTGTGGGGGCTGTCTGTAACTTGTGTGACAGTACTGTGGGGGCTGTCTGTTGCTTGTGTGACTACTGTGGGGGCTGTCTGTAGCTTGTGTGACAGTACTGTGGGGGCTGTCTGTTGCTTGAGTGACAGTACTGTGGTGGCTGTCTGTTGCTTGAGTGACAGTACTGTGGGGGCTGTCTGTTGCTTGAGTGACTACGGTGGGGGCTGTCTGTTGCTTGAGTGACAGTACTGTGGGGGCTGTCTGTTGCTTGAGTGACAGTACTGTGGGGGCTGTCTGTAGCTTGTGTGACAGTACTGTGGGGGCTGTCTGTTGCTTGAGTGACAGTACTGTGGGGGCTGTCTGTTGCTTGAGTGACAGTACTGTGGGGGCTGTCTGTTGCTTGAGTGACTACGGTGGGGGCTGTCTGTTGCTTGAGTGACAGTACTGTGGGGGCTGTCTGTTGCTTGAGTGACAGTACTGTGGGGGCTGTCTGTAGCTTGTGTGACAGTACTGTGGGGGCTGTCTGTTGCTTGAGTGACAGTACTGTGGGGGCTGTCTGTTGCTTGTGTGACTACTGTGGGGGCTGTCTGTTGCTTGTGTGACTACGGTGGGGGCTGTCTGTTGCTTGAGTGACAGTACTGTGGGGGCTGTCTGTTGCTTGAGTGACAGTACTGTGGGGGCTGTCTGTAGCTTGTGTGACAGTACTGTGGGGGCTGTCTGTTGCTTGAGTGACAGTACTGTGGGGGCTGTCTGTTGCTTGTGTGACTACTGTGGAGGCTGTCTGTAGCTTGTGTCACTACTGTGGGGGCTGTCTGTAGCTTGTGTGACAGTACTGTGGGGGCTGTCTGTTGCTTGAGTGACAGTACTGTGGGGGCTGTCTGTTGCTTGAGTGACAGTACTGTGGGGGCTGTCTGTTGCTTGAGTGACAGTACTGTGGGGGCTGTCTGTTGCTTGTGTGACTACTGTGGGGGCTGTTTGTTGCTTGTGTGACTACTGTGGGGGCTGTCTGAAGCTTGTGTGACAGTACTGTGGGGGCTGTCTGTTGCTTGAGTGACAGTACTGTGGGGGCTCTCTGTTCCTTGTGTGATTACGGTGGGGGCTGTCTGTTGCTTGTGTGACAGTACTGTGGGGCTGTCTGGTGCTTGAGTGACAGTACTGTGGGGGCTGTCTGTTGCTTGTGTGACTACTGTGGGGGCTGTCTGTTGCTTGTGTGACTACGGTGGGGGCTGTCTGTTGCTTGAGTGACAGTACTGTGGGGGCTGTCTGTAGCTTGTGTGACAGTACTGTGGGGGCTGTCTGCTGCTTGAGTGACAGTACGGTGGGGGGCTGTCTGTTGCTTGTGTGACAGTACTGTGGGGGCTGTCTGTTGCTTGAGTGACAGCCCCGGGGGTGGGCTGTCTGTTGCTTGTGTGACTACTGTGGGGGCTGTCTGTAGCTTGTGTGACAGTACTGTGGGGGCTGTCTGTTGCTTGAGTGACAGTACTGTGGGGGGATGTCTGTTGCTTGTGTGACAGTACTGTGGGGGGGCTGTCTGTTGCTTGTGTGACAGTACTGTGGGGGCTGTCTGTTGCTTGTGTGACAGTACTGTGGGGGGCTGTCTGGTGCTTGTGTGACAGTACTGTGGGGGGCTGTCTGTTGCTTGTGTGACAGTACTGTGGGGGGCTGTCTGGTGCTTGTGTGACAGTACTGTGGGGGGGCTGTCTGTTGCTTGTGTGACAGTACTGTGGGGGCTGTCTGGTGCTTGTGTGACAGTACTGTGGGGGGCTGTCTGTTGCTTGTGTGACAGTACTGTGGGGGGCTGTCTGGTGCTTGTGTGACAGTACTGTGGGGGGGGGCTGTCTGTTGCTTGTGTGACAGTACTGTGGAGGCTGTCTGTTGCTTGTGTGACAGTACTGTGGGGGGCTGTCTGTTGCTTGTGTGACAGTACTGTGGGGGTTGTCTAGTGCTTGTGTGACAGTACTGTGGGGGGGCTGTCTGTTGCTTGTGTGACAGTACTGTGGGGGCTGTCTGTTGCTTGTGTGAGAGTACTGTGGGGGCTGTCTGTTGCTTGGATGACAGTACTGTGGGGGCTGTCTGTTGCTTGTGTGACTACTGTGGGGGCTGTCTGTTGCTTGTGTGACTACTGTGGGGGCTGTCTGTAGCTTGTGTGACAGTACTGTGGGGGCTGTCTGTTGCTTGAGTGACAGTACTGTGGGGGCTCTCTGTTGGTTGTGTGACTACGATGGACTCTGTCTGTTGCTTGTGTGGCAGTGCTGTGGGGCTGTCTGGTGCTTGAGTGACAGTACTGTGGGGGCTGTCTGTTGCTTGTGTGACTACGGTGGGGGCTGTCTGTTGCTTGAGTGACAGTACTGTGGGGGCTGTCTGAAGCTTGTGTGACAGTAATTTGGGGGCTGTCTGCTGCTTGAGTGACAGTACGGTGGGGGCTGTCTGTTGCTTGTGTGACAGTACTGTGGGGGCTGTCTGTTGCTTGAGTGACAGCCCCGGGGGTTGGCTGTCTGTTGCTTGTGTGACTACTGTGGGGGCTGTCTGTAGCTTGTGTGACAGTACTGTGGGGGCTGTCTGTTGCTTGATTGACAGTACTGTGGGGGGATGTCTGTTGCTTGTGTGACAGTACTGTGGGGGGGGCTGTCTGTTGCTTGTGTGACAGTACTGTGGGGGCTGTCTGTTGCTTGTGTGAAAGTACTGTGGGGGGCTGTCTGGTGCTTG